TTTTCCAGCATACTTTGCACCTGGCTAATAATGTAAAGAGAAGGAACCCGAAATGGCAGAGCATGTGTTACAAGCCTCAAGCAGGAGGACAAAACTTACAGCCTTCCTTCTGGAGTGTGTGGCTGGTGCCCAGGAACATCTGTGTCTCTGCACAGGACAAGGAGTTGTCTCTGCCACAGAGGGGGAGGGGGATTTCAGTGGTGGTTATCAGAACTTTCTTCTCCATTCCCAGACAAAACAGTTCCTACACAAGCATCCGCCTTGGTGAGGCACTAATAGAGTGCTAACATTCCTGTGCTGTATGGACTCTGGTCACCACAGCTTCAGTGAGAAGAGCTGTGTTGTCTCAGGGAAGAGGGTCTGACAGTCAAAGTTCTTGCAGTTTTTGTGCTGCCTTCCATATGCATTACAGACCTCCTGCTGGCTCTCAGCAGTTGAGCTTTGAAAATCTATAACCCAGTTTTGCCCCTGCTGCCATGCAGACAGCTGAGGCTCTTGAGTGAGAGTGTTGACCTCCTCTGACGGCTGTCCCCATGACCCACCAATGCAGGAGAAACAGGTTTTCTCAGCAATTTACTCGGTCAACAGTGGAAACTCCTTGTTCCTGCAAGCTGGCCTCTACGCTACCGTGTGCTGGTCAAAGGACACTGCTGCACAGTAGAGTAGCCCGACAGTGGGAGTCGAGCAGCAGATTGGTGTGTACACTCAGGGCAGCTCAGACCGGGAAATGTCTAGGGACTTGCCTGCCACCAGTTCTTGCCATAAAGTAATGCATCAGAAAAAAGTGAGGAAAGGGTCTTGCCATGATTTTTCTAGGAGGTAACTACATAACGAGAAGATTATAAGTAAATCCCAGGACTAGTTTTGAGACTGGTCTGTTTTAAAGTGGTGGTAGGGGAAGACCTTTTCCCAGAGAAGATAGCAAACTGTCAACTGTCCCCTGTCAACTGGGCTGGTGGCTCAGGCACATTGGCCACCCCACAAAGTGAATGCAGCTGCCTGGCCTTCTTCTTCAAATCCTGCATGCAATTCAGTCTGGTGATTTCACATGGATTCCAATGTCTTATCAGAGAAAGTGCTGAACTGTACCTTCGGTCTGCTGAAAACAATTAGACATCTTTTCTTTGTACTATGTAAACGTTCTGAAAATCTTATTTTGGCCGGTGTGGTGCCCACACCTTCAGTGCCAACACTTTTGGAGGCCGAGTTGGGTGGATCACCTGACTTGTGTAGTTCGAGACCAGACTGACCAACATGGACAAACGCAAATCTACTAAAAGTACAAAAATTGGCCAGGCGTGCTGGTGTATGCCTGTGATCCCAGCTACTCAGGAGGCTGAGGCAGGAGAATCGCTTGAAACCTGGGAGGTGGACATTGGGGTAAGCTGAGATCACAGCACTGCACTCCACCTGGCCAACAAGGCTGAAACCCCACCAAAAAAAACAGTGTCTTTTAAGCTCTGGGGAACAGGGACAAGTGTGCAGCTTGGTTCCATAGCTAAACGTGCGTCATGGTGGTTTGCTGCAGCAGCCAACACATCACCTAGTTCTTAAGGGCACCGTGGTATAGCTATTGCACCTGATGCTCTTCCTCCCACATTTGACCTGAGAGGTGCTGGTGTGTTATGTTCCCCACCCTGTGTCCATGTGTTCTCATCTTTCAGCTCTCACTTAGGAGTAAGAACAAGCAGTGTTTGGATTTCTATTCCTGTGTTAGTTTGCCGAGAATGAGGGTTTCCAGTTCCATCGATGTCTCCACAAAGGACATGACATCATGTGTGAACATATTTCTCCAGGAGTTCCTAGAAAAACAGAGCATCATGCTACACCCACATACGTCGCAGTGTGATTCACAACTGCCCAAAGATGGAAGTAACCCAGGTGTCCAATCCACTGATGAACGGGTGAACGGAGTGTACTCTGTGCACTCAGTGTAATACTATACAGACAGGAAAAGGGATGAGGCTCAAACACAGGTGGCAGTATGGATGAAATTTGAAGACATCAGGCTCAGTGAGAGAACCCAGGCATGAAAGGCCACACAGCGTATGACTTCGTTTACCTAAAATGTCTAGAACAGGCACAGATTTCACAGAAACAGAAACTAGAACTCTGAGTGGCAGGGACGAGGAAGGTGGAATGGGGCATTGGTGTTTCTCTCCTTTTCTTTCTTTCTCTTTGTTTGAGGCACAGTCTCGCTCTGTCACCCACACTGGAGTACAATTGCAGGATCTCAGCTCACTGCAACCTCTGATTCCCTGGTTCAAGCGATTCTTCTGTCTCAACCTGGGAAGTAGCTGAGATTACAGGCACCCACCACTACGGTCGTCTAATTTTGTTATTTTTAGTAGAGACGGAGTTTCACCATGTTGGTCAGCCTGGTGTGAAACTCTTGACCTCAGGTGCGCCCTGAGACCTGCACTGCTCACCTCACATTTTTTCTATTCCATCTCTGAGGGCCTAACTCCCTTGGGTGGTACTGCAGTGGATCGAGCCACAGGCCGTGACTTATGATCTGGGCTACTGAGGAAATGGTACGGGACAGGTCAGGCCATGCTTCAAAGCCAGTTCTCTAGAGGCCTGGCAAAAATCTGCAAGGTCTTCTCCCAGGATCCCCACAATGGCCCTACCTCAGCAATCATGCCAGACCCTGGGCAGTCATGGTGCGCCAACCAGCTGAAGAAGCTCAGGTAGGTTTTATTCTGCCTACAGCTGGGGGCTTTACCTTCATGATCCCAGAACCACGGGACTGCAGTGGAATGAGAAACCTTATATTCTGGAGAAAGGGGAGTCAGGAGGCCGAAGCCAGGCATATCCTTCCACATACCACCTCCTATACCATGCCGGGAGGCACTCCATACTGAAAATGCAACAGGAAAATCCTTAATGATCACTTCATTGTGGAAGTAAAGGTTGGAAGGAGAAAAAACCTTCATCCTGTGGCCCATAACTGGAGATGTCTGAGGTTCTCAGCCTGCGTGGCTACGGAGAAAGAGGACAGACTCAAAGGGACCAATCATCTAGTTGGACGGAGGTGGCCTGCTAGCTGGGGTGGCACATGTGTTTCCCCTTCCCAGCTCTCCCCTGAGATATGCTGGGGCCTCAGGGGGACCCCACCCTGACCCAGACACATGGGCCCTCACGAAGACCCAATCCACATTGCCTGACCTGCAAATCCATCACGTAGCTAAGCAGGGGTTCGTCATGGTTTCTTATGCAGTCTGACATCTGGGTGTGATGCACAATCAGCCTAGTGTTAAGGAACTCACATATGATTGGCTGGGTGTGCCACAAAACACTCTGCGACTTTGCAAGGGCACCAAGAGTGTAGGACAGGGCTATACCCAGACCTCGGACCTGGAACACTTTCTTGGTGGTCCTCTCTCACTCTCTGAAGTTGGGGTACTGACATGGCTGTGGTGGTCTTGGGGGCAGGTGGAGCATGATTGGAGAGTTTCTACTAAGCAGCAGCCAGGCACAGAAAAAGTAAGCAGCTGGTTGGGGACATGGTGACGTGGTGTGAGGCAGCTGCTTCCTAGGGTTCCTGAGCTGCACAGGTGGTGCTGCTGTGCAGGCATGCAGTGTCCTCTTCTCCTGGCCTCTCAGAGGATTGCAACGGAGGTCACACCTGTTCAGGGCCTACACCCTTTAGGTGCAGCCTTGCCAGAGGAAATAAAATGTGTCTGGGGTGCCTGTGCCTGCCTTGCAGAGGACAGCAGCCCCATGCACCATGAACAGTCCTGACTACCTTGGGTTTCTGGCATGAGCATGCTGGAAACAGGTATGGGGAGCAGGGGTGTTTCAGTGGTTGGCATGGACATGCAGACTCCCTTTCCCCCAGGGGCTTTCCCATAGAAATGTGCCCTTGAACTTTCTGCTGTGGGTGAAGGCTTTGTGGTAAGGCTATTCCCCCTTGTTAGTGATGAGCTTGGCTCCCCTTCCCTACCCTGTGCTCTCACACAGGCACAAACAAGCGGAGCTCCTACCTACTGCACTATGGCATTGGCCCCCCTGCCTTTCCCCATCCCTGCCTTCTGGCTTAACTCTTGTCATCCATCCTGGCTCCCCAAAGCCTGCCTTGGGAAGCCTGAGCTTAAGCCCTGCTGCCAACCATCCCAAATGGACAGTTGCAAGACTACTGCTCTGGTCCAAAATATCCGGAGCCCATCTCCAACTCAAGTGGCTTCAGCAAGTCTGTATCTGGCCCAGGAAGGCCACGCTGTGCCTCCTGGTCCTCCTCCTCCTGCTGCCACATGTCAGCCTCCTACTTTGCCACCACCTCACCTACCACCATGACGTCGTCCACTACGAACATCACCTCCCTCCACAAGGCCACCCCCACACAACCCCCACACACCCCGGATCTGTGCACTAGTCACCGTTTCCTACCTCCAGGCTGAACACAATGCCCGCCTCTGGCCTCCCACAGACACCTGCCTCTGCTGCTTAACACACGCCATGGAACCCCTACAGTGTGGGGACCAGTCCTTGAGAAACCCATGGGCCTCGCCCTGCTGAGGATCCGTTGCTAAAGCTACGTGGACCCAGGACTCCTGGGATGTCCCACAGGCTGCAGTCCTACGCATGCACCTTGGGGCCCTGGGCCCCAGCGGGATAAGCTATGCCCAGCAGCCCAGAATACACACGGTGAGGCCCTGGACTTGCGAAGCCCTGACGGCAGCCGAGCATGCTGCTGTTGCCCGCTGGCAGGAACCTCTGGGTCGCACAGTATCTTGCACGCGCACAGCGTGTACACAGTCCACCCATGGGTGACCCTGGCATCTGGTCTCCAGTGTGCTTAGGATCCAGCACGAGAGGAATGCTCCTTGGAGTCCAGCATCCTTAGGGAGGAAGCATGGCACTCGGGGTCTGTATTAGCCTAGACCTCCCAAAAGTGCAGACAAACTCCACCCCAGCAAGGTTCCAGGTGGCTTTCCGTCCACGTGCCTGCCCCGCCCACTTCCCCCAAGCCTCCTCCCGCTGCTGCCTGTGCCCCAGCAGCCAGCCCCGGTCCCTTTCCCTCTCCTCTGGATCTGCAGCATTCAGTACCACCTGCCTGGCCTGCCTAAGGAAGTGAGATGTTTCATGTGTTGGCTGTGGGTTCATGGCCTGCCACAGTCATGATGGCTGTTAGGCCGTCGGACTTCCATGCCCACAATTCCAAAGGGCTGGCTGACCGCCTCGCCTGTGCCTGAACCCAGAGCGTCTGGGCGGAAACTGACAGCTCTTCACGCTTGGCTTGCCCGAGGAGGGTGGAGCTGCAGGACACCCGGATGCGGCCACGCCCCTCTGCTTGCCTTCCCGCCCTAGAAGACACCCACCCACCGTCGCACTGACTGGCTGCCGAGAGAGGCGGTTTCGGCTACTTCCGTAGGGCTGCCAAAGGATCTTTCCCGCGCAGTCCGGTTCCCGGCCTCTCACCGGTCAGCGGGGCTAGAGGCGTTCCACAGCCAGATGCGAGCACCCTGAGGGCCCGGTGACCCAGAGGCTGTTTGTCCTACTGAGAAACACCGGTAATTTCGGTTTCTCTGGTCAGTTTGGTCTCTCGGCAAGAATACAAATGCAGCGAGGTGTTCGGATGCTGTCAACGAAAGGGGCTATGGTTTTCGGTGCGTGGGTGTTGAATTCTGGGAAGAGACGGTAGAGAGGGGGTTGTCCTTAGTGCTTGTGAGAAACTGAGGTTTGTTAAACTCATTGATGTTTCTTGAGGATTCTTCCTGTTACAGTTGGACATGTCCGATGTGGGGGCAATTTGTGGGTGATGGACCTGGGGCGCCATTGTTTTCTGTGCACTTTTTATTGAAACGGTTTTTCTCTGTGAACGTGGTCCTGACTCATACACAGGCAGTGTGCTCATACACTGTGAGCAGAAAAACAAAAAAAAAACCTTGTACTTTTAGTTAGCACATTTCACATTTCTGATTTTCTTCACAGGACTTAGCAAAGTTTGACATAAATTGCGTAACTTTCGGTTATGTAGAAGTCTGGAACCATGAATAATCAGTTTAAATTTGCCTCTTTTAAACCAGTAATTGTCCCCCTCCTTCTATGACAGTATTTGAAAGATGTTTCATGTATCTCAGGTACCGTAAATAATTTAAATGGAAGAAGTGTTGGTATTGGAGATAAATGGCAGTAGATAGCCGAAAACGGAAGCAAATAGATGTGCTTAAGGTTTTGATTAACCTGGCAAACTGACGTACTCCTGTAATCCCAACATTTTCGGAAGTGACGGTGTAAGATTGACTTGAGGTCACGAGTTGGAGACTAGACTGAGTAACGTAATGGGGGTCCTTTAATCTGTTGCCATTGTGGCACCAGGGACCGGTTTAGAGGAAGGCAGCTTTTCCACAGACAAGAGGTTGGTAAGGGGAAGAAGGCGGAGAGTGGACATGCTGCCGAGCGGAGACGCGGCAGGTTACCCAGGGGTACGGGGTAAGGCGGCTCTTCTGCTCGGAACATCGTGTTGCGGCAGTTTGGGCGGCAGCGGGGCTAAGTGGAGCACAGTGTGGGGCAGCAGAGTGACAGGGAGGATGGTGTCATGCAGCTGTGACACCTCATGTCATTCTCAGACGTTACATTCTCATAAGGAGATTGCCACTGAGATTTCTCGCATACATAGGCCAGAGTACTGCTCCTAGCCTCCGCGGATCCCACCGCAGGCGGGGCTCAGAGACGTAGAGTAGTTAACCCCTTGTTTGGCAGCCGGGTCCCTGAAAGGCCAAAGATATTTATGGCTGAAAGCCAGAGTGTGTGGATACCCGATCTCGGTAGTGTATATTTCAAATCACTAAAAGATTGTACAATATTTAAAAGGTCCTCCCCCAAGAAAGCATGTAGTTTAAGTAGCTCGATTTAATCATTTGTCAAAATATCAGGTTTTGCGTGGCAGTTCACCCTTGAAAACCCATCATCTTGGTAGCCGCATGCTGCCACATCACTTGAGCCCAGGAGTTTCGACGTGGGTCAGCACTGTACAACCTGGGTCTATTTAAAGACACGCACACACACGCATAAACACACACACCCCTGCACACACCCCTGCAGACACACACACACACACACACCCCAGCTCCAGTAGCAGGCCACTGTAGTCCCAGCTACTTGGGAATCTGAGATGTGACAGGATCACTTGAGGCTGGGTGGAGGAGGATACACGGAGCAGTGCACATTGGCAGCAGGAAACTTACGTCTTAAAAAAATTGTACTTCATAAATATATAATTTTCAAAGAAACCTATTTAAATTGGGGAATCCTGTGTATTTCCACTTCGTAAAATTAGAATATCTTCTCTTATCTAGTTTTCCTACAGCGTTTTTCTCAGGTCCGTAGTGAAATGCGCCACTAATCTATGAAGCCATTCCCCTTTTGCTCTTTATGTTCCAGATTTTTCATACAGGACGTAAGGTACTTTAAAAGAGGTAAGCCCCTTTAAGGGAATTTCACATCAGTTTTCAACACAGGATATAATAAAATTTAATATTTTCACCTTTTTATTGTTATGTAAATATGGATTTATTTTTTACCATTTACAGCAAAACTATGGAAGCAGATCGCCCTGGCAAGCTTTTCATTGGTGGGCTCACTAGAGAAGCCAATGAAAAGACGCTAAAAGCAGTATTTGGGAGACATGGTCCTGTGTCAGAAGGTAACCCTTAAAATCAACGTATATGTATTTTCCCAAAGTTAACATATACTTACCCTATGTAATTGATTACATAATTTTTTTGTTTAACTCCTGTTTTGAAGTTTATATTTGGTATTCAGAATATTCTCATGGCAGCAGGTGATGGGTCTGTGTTAAAGTTCACCTGCATAGAACTGCCAATAGGTCATTTTTGTAACCACGTGAGTTAGAAGGGGATCACTGCTCTCTGAGTTCCAAATTAGGAGTCCTTTATTTGCCAGAGACTGAGAGTCAGCTCACCCTCCAAACCTTTCAGTCCCGATGAAAGAGCTTGATTTCCCTTTATACCTTGATTTAGGTAGAGGAGGGGGAGCCTAGCTGAAGCGAAATTTTACAGAAGCAGAACAAGCAAGTTAGATGAGGCACCTGTAAGCAGGGGGCAGGAGGTTCCCAGGATGGTTGGTTGCTAAAGGTATTTGCATACAAGCATCTAGGGAGGTAGCAGGGGGAGCTTTCCATACACTCAATCACCGAGGAGGGTATTGACAGTAGCAGGTAGACTTGCCAAGCAGGAGGTGGTTACAATGGTTACAGGTACTGGGAACAGTGTGAACTACTCTTAAGGATTCAAAGCTTTGAATGCAGTGTGACCCAGGAATGCACCTTGAGGGGGCTGAGGTAGGGAAGGAGAAGCTAAATAGAGCATGTCAGGTTCGCGGCTTAGATGGAGTCAGTTAGGCTAACACAAGCTAGGTTATTACAATACAAGCCAAAGGAAATTTGTTTGGTGGTAGGGAATGAAATGGAATGAAATAGACTGTCTATAGGGGTGACGTCCTGTTAAGAATCATAGTAAGGATGTGAAGTGCAATTTGCTTGTTTCTTGATGTCACATTCAGATAGCTAGCACTATCGTAAGCCCATTATATAAATGAAAAGGTTTTCATATATTTTAGTTCTGTTGTTGAAAGATCGACGCAGGAAGTGCAGAGGCTTTGCGTTCATTACTTTTGAGAACGCTGGAGATGCTCAGCATGCTGCCAGAGATTGGAATGGAAAGGTAAGATTCTCTTATTAGTGCTATTCTAACTCTGTTCTTCAATTAACAGCATATCTATGTCTTTTTAGTACTAGTGCACTTTGAAAATAGTATAATGGAAATGGTTTAGCTCTGCTTTTCCTTGGACATATAAATGCAAGTGTAGTTGGAAGGATATTGGAATGAACATTATGTAAATTACCTTATGGCAATCCAATTTCTATGTTTTTATTTCAATATGAGTGTAAATAGGTTTTCAAAGCTTTTGAACAGCTTTAAAACTTAGAACGACCTGTGATGAAAATGAGAAAAAGAAGTCGTATTTATTAAATAGCTATTAATGGAATTACATCCAATTCATAGTAAAACGTCTATAGCACAGAGAAACTGTGGATAGACATCTAGGCAGACTTACAAAAAATAAATCTTCTGTAGATAGATATCTAGACAGACTCATAAGAAGGAACAATCCTCTCCCATTCTCTGTAAATACATTCTTGAGAAAGTTCATTTAAACAAGACTGTTACATTTAAGGAAGTGTTAAGTATTTGAAAATAGAAAATAGTAGGAGAACATTGAAGTTGTGTAACAGAACAAGTAGCTGACATTTTTGCCCCATTCCTGCACCCTTTTCCTAAGAACGTTTTTTTTTTCTTCTCCTGTAACCAGGGTGACATGCATACGTATTTACTAGGTACAATGTTAATTTTCCCAGTATGTTCTAGGACTTGCTTTGATCCAAACAATGGCACCTTGTCCTGTGGAGTCTGAAATTCTAGAGACTCTGTATTTGTTACAGCTTTAAACTTTTATGCAATTCTCTTTCCTACTGAATTCCTTTATGTTGCAGTCAAGATCATTCTATTGGAAATGCCCTGGAGCTTTTTTATTTTATAACATTATCCCATTCTGTTTTTAGTTCCTGCTATACTTGATGCCATCCCCAATATGTTTTTCTGGACCACTTGAGTATTATTCTTCCATGTAAATGTTGGACAAATGGCAATTTATCCTTTAAGAACAACTTAGATTTTCTATTTTTTTTCTCAATGTCTATTATAGGAATTTTGTGCTCACCGTACCATGTATTAATCACTAGATCATTAAATTGTCTTTATTGCATCTTTAAATTTTTCGAGTTGATTTTGTTTCTCTACTGTTTAGCTCACTTCCCGGTACATAGCAGTCAGTTTTTTTTTTATTCACCCTAATCCTCTCATATTTTAAGTTGTGGTACAAGCTGATAGTTGATTTGGTTCATGCTTTCATGCTAGGTATAGAGATACATTTTACTTATGTATCAAAATGTTTGGCCATTTTCTTCCCTTTTTGTGCTCAAGAAGGGTTAATTTGTATAGATGTCTTTTGCAAATTGCCTAGTCTCACATATTTTATTACGTAAAAATGAAAATAAATGTTATATGCACATAAGTGTTAAAAAGGGAAATAAAGAAGGCATTTAGAGTTTTCAGGGGGAGCTTACAGTTTAAGAAATTGTGGCTGACTTTGAAATACTAGGAAGGAAGCAACCGTGTGCAAAACTGGGGAAACTGTTCTGGGCTAAGAAATAACACAAGATGTTGCAAGTTAGGAAGAACTGCTTATACGGCTGCAACAGGTCTTGGATGGGATTTAAGATCCTTTCCCAAATAACAAAACCATGTAATGTTTAAATAGAACTCTTAGCAGAACTGTTTTCAAACATTACTTTGGCCTACAGAAAAGATTAAACTGAAAAAAAGTTATTGTGAATTTAATTAGGACTGTAAACCATTTCTGAGAAATAACATGAAGCACTATATTAAGAGTCGTTTTTTAGGGATGCCTCTAGGCAAGATAAGAAATGAGTAAGGCAGAAAACTTGAATGAGACCAAAGAGGGGTCACATTTATTGAAACAGAACTAGAGTAGATACAGAAGTGTAAATCATATTTGGACATTTTATGTGATTAACAGCAGCAGGATCAAGAAAAAATTCATAATGAATAATGTGACTAACCACTTTGAATAACTAACCTTATGTTTTCAAATGACACATTCATGTAGCCTCGAGACACTGAGACCTTTAAATATGTGATGTGAATGCAAAGATGAAACAGATTCTATATTGTAAAGAACACATGGGCTACATTCTCCCACACAATTTGTGATGGTTTAACGTTTTTAGGTGTTATTTTTAATAGCGGAGGCCTTTTCAAGGAGTTTGAATAATGGAATTGGTATTCATTTCTTAACAGAATGCATGGTCTCAGTGATTGTGGCAGGTTTGGCAATGTTCACAACATGGGCATTTCAGGAGAAAGAAAGTTTGTTTAGGAGAAACCATCTGAAAGTACATACAGTTGATATTTAAAAAGTCTGTAAAATGTGATTAGTTCAAATGTGGCAGTGTTGCTGATGGTATGTTTAATACTTTTAGTTTTTGGATGGAAAAGTGATAAAAGTAGAACAAGCCAAGAAACCATTGTTTCAAAGTGCTGGCAGGCAGAGAACACCGTGTTTTTCAAGAAAGAGTAGACCCACAGGAAAACAGAGATCTGCAAGAGGAAGGAGTGGACAGACAAGAGGCTGGCATCCCTCACATGGAGGACGCTTGGGTAACATTTAAAAATATAAAGTTGGAAGCATAGAACTGAAAGACAAAAAGCTTGAAAATGTAGAAATTTCTCAAATTCATTTATATCCTTTATGAACA